GGGGGGGGCCCTGTGAGGGTCTGGGGAGGGGAAGTGTGAGTTGTTCTGGGGGTCCTGGAGGGTCTTGTGAGGATTTTGGATGGGGGCTTTGCTGCAGGGGGGTCCCAGGGGGTCCCTGTGAGGGTCCTGGGTGGCGGTCGCTGCTGTAGGGGGGGATATGGGGCGGGGTCGCTGCTGGTGGTTCCAAGCGGTTCCCGGTCCCGCACAGCCCCGGTTTTTGGGGGGTCTCGCCTGGCCCTGGGGGGGGTCACTGCGGGAGTCCAGAGGCCGTGAAAGGAGCTGATGGGAACTTTGGGAGGAGTGTGGGGGGTCCTGCACGGCTCTATGGGGGGATCAGTCCAGGGGTCCCCTGTATCGCCAGGGGTCTTGGGTGGAAGGGGAGGTTTTTGGGGTGGGGGGTCGCCCCGGGGTCCCCTTTCCGCGTCCCTCGGCGGGTCCCTGCGACCCTCCCGGACCCCCCACCCAATCCGTCCCAGTCCCCCCCGCACCTGGAGCCGCTCCGAGGAGGCCGCGAACAAGATGGAGCCGGGCGGGGGGCGCGGAGCGGGGCCGGCAGCGGGGTGGGATCGGGATGGGAGCGGGGTGGGATCGGGATGGGAGCGGGGTGGGATCGGGATGGGAGCGGGGACCGGCCGGGCTCTGCCTCCGGCACCGCCCCCGCCCGCCCCGAGGGGGCCCGGCGGTCCCGTGAGGCTCCCGAAGTTGCCAAAGTTTCCCTGCTGCATCCTAAAGTGTCTCCAAGTGTCCCAACTACCCACACTGCATCCCTGAATCATCCCCTCGTGTCCCCAAAGTGCCCTCACTGCATCCCAAAGCGGCTCCACCCCAATAGTTGTCCCCATTACATCCCCACACATCCCCACCACACCCCACAGTGCCCCTGCTGTGTCCCCAAGTGTTCCCTCTGTGCTCCAGCCACCCCTGCCATGTCCCAAACCCCTGCCACGTGCTGAGCTGTCCTCGTTGTGTCCCAAAGTGTCACCCCCGTGTCCTCAACCATCCTCCTTGTGTCCCTGCCATGTCCCAGAGCACTTCAGTCATGCCCTTTGCTGTCCCTTTTGCATCCCCAAGGGTCCACTGATGTGCCCCCAGTGCCACCAGGTCTCTGGGATGTCCCCACGTCCTGCCAACAACACCCGACCCCGGCGGCTGAACGGGCTCTTTATTCGGGAATCGGGCTCCGGCCATGGCACAGCCTGGCTCCTCCCTGCCCTCCCTCCCGCTGGTGCCATGTCCCTGCAGGCACTGCCAGCCTGGGCACCTCCATCCTCTCCTCCTGGGAATGCCGGCTCGGTGCCGCTGGCCCCGGCGAGCTGCGCCCTGCAGGGCTCCACAGTCCACTGACCAGTGGGGACCCCGCAAACCCCACGGCCCCTTGGGGTGGATCCGGCCCCAGTGGGAGTGGGTGGCCGAGGAGGACCCCCCGGGGTGCCCATCCCTCGAGCTGGGCCACCATCCTGTCCTCCGTGGAGCCACGGCCACCTCCCATCGCCCGAGGTGACACACGTCTGGGTCCTTTCCTGGAGACGCTGCTGCGTCGAGTCCCCACTGTGTGTCCTGGGGGTTTATCCATCCGGGAAGATGTAGCCGTAGTGGTTGAGGATGTGCTCCACCACCTGGTTCTGGAAGACCATGTGCATGGCCATGTTGCTCTCCTCGCTCGCCGGCCGCAGCAGGGTGGGCCCGAAGACGATAGCGACGCTCTGCACCGACATCCTGTTCTCCTCCTTGTGCTCGATCACCCTGCGGGGACGTGGGGGGTGTCACCGGCACGTCCCCAAACCTGGGGCCTGTCCCTGACCCCGAGTTGTGTTCCCCCTTCCAGCTCCCAGGGTGGGTTTGGGGGAGCGAGGGGGTGTCACCTGCAGAGGTGGCGGAAAAGGACCTTCATGGTGTCGTGGTGGGCGGGCGGGAGGGACAGCACCAGGTCCCGGATGCACCGGCCCCGCATGGCCGGGTCCTGGATCTCTGCCGGGGAGGGAAGGCACAGTGGGGTGCTGGTTCTGGCAGCCAGAGCATCCGTCCCTGTCCCCATCTCTATTTCCACCCCCATCCTTGTCTCCATTCCCATCCCCCTCCTCATTTTCATCCCCATCCTAATCCCCATCCTCATCCCCATCTCCATCACCTTGCCTGTCCCAGCTCCCATCTCCACCTCCATCCCATTTCCATCCTATCCTATCCCTCTGTCCCTGTCCCCATTCCAATCCTTATCCCCTTGTGCATCCCATTCCCATTACAATCCTTATCCCCTTGTGCATCCCATTCCCATTCCAATCCTTATTCCCTTCCCATCTCCATTCCATCCCTAATCCCATCCTTGTCCCTATGCCTTTCCCAACTCTATTCTTGTCCTTCTCCTTGTCTCCATCCCAACCCTATCCCTGTCCCCTGTTCCCATCTCATTCTCACCCCTGTTCCCATCCTTGTCCCCATCCCATCCCATCCCATCCCATCCCATCCCATCCCATCCCATCCCATCCCATCCCATCCCATCCCATCCCACCCCCTCTCCCCATCCCTGTCCCTGTCCCTCACTGA